CTTTTTATGAAGAAAGTAAAAGAAGGTTACAGCAGGATCGCCACTGGCTTCTATTCTGAGCCATATCTGATAACGTCTCTAGCCACTGTGTAGCACCATCTCTCAGACCCCAACCAGGGAGTCGTGAAGGACCAACACAAGCCAGTCCTTTGCAGCTTTCTTTCATGCCACGACACCATGTCATGCACTGACCACCTCTCCGCTTCTTCCAACCAGTCCCAGAGTCGGCAAATAATGCACGACGTGGAATTCTCTGGGACGACATTCGGAGAACATGTCCAAGCCACCGAAGTCGGTGTTTCAAGATGGTGACACCAATTGATTATCATCTCTGTGCCCGAACACACGATGCCGAACCTCTGCATTACTGACATGGTGTTGCCACTGAATGTCAGCAATCCTTCGGAGACAGCGATGATCGAACACAGAGAGTCGTCTAACGTCCTCAACTCGGAGAGGCCAGGTTTCACAAGCATAGAGCAAAACTGCTCTCACCGACGCGTTGTAGATCCGACCTTTTACAGCCAGACTAACATCACGAAGGCGCCAAAGGTGGCCCAGATTGGCATAAGCCGCTCTGGCTTTCACTATACGTGCATTGATCTCATCACTCACACCCCCACCAGCACTTATGCAGCTACCCAGATACACGAACTTCTCGACTACGTCTATCTGCTCACCATCCAGGGTGAGTACAGGATTAGAATCCTGCCAGTCTTGTAGAAGTACTTTGCACTTCGAAGGTGCAAAGCACATACCATACCTACGGACACTGATTGCCAACTGATTAAGTGCGGATTGCATGCCTTGGGCATTATCGCACAGTAAGACAATATCGTCCGCATACTCAAGGTCGAGAAGTCTTTCTCCAGGCAACAGATCCACACCACCATTACTTACATTCATCAGAGCTGTTTCCAGAATGTCATCGATGGCAAAGTTGAAGAGGAATGGTGAGATTGGGCAACCCTGCCTAACCCCACTGCTCGAATGGAACAATGGAGAGAGGTGGTTGTATGCCCTCACTCTGCCTGAGGTGTTTTTATATAGGGCTTTTAGGATGTTAATAAACTTCTCAGGCACACCCTTCTTCAATAGACAATCCCAGAGAACAGTCCTGTCCAACGAATCGAAGGCAGCCCTGATGTCAAGAAACACTACGATTGTTGGCCTTTGAAAGTATGGCGGTGTTCTAACATTTGGCGGAGGGTGAAGATATGATCAATACATCCTCGACCAGAACGAAACCCAGCCTGCTCCTCGCGAGTCAATCTTTCTCGGGTTTTGAACAACCTACGAAGTATGACGGAAGCCAATAGCTTGGACGCAATCGGAAGTAGACTTATCCCCCGATAGTTGTTACAGGAACGACGTGAACCCTTTTTAAAGATAGGGACAACTATCGACTCATTCCATGACGTTGGTACACTCTCTAGTTCCCAAACCTTTGTAAACAACGTCGTCAATTCCTTAGTCAAAAAGTCACCACCATCTTTAAAAAGAGCCGGAGGTAAGTCATCTGGGCCAGGTGATTTGTAACGCTTCAAGAGTTGGAGTTCCTTGTGGACTCCACCGGCCATGGAGGGCAGGACAGTCTGACCGATGTTGCCGGAGCAGCAGGCCAGTTGAACTGCCCTTCGAAAAATTCTGCCCATCGTCCAAGACGTCGATGGATGTTAGTGATTGGCATCCCATCATCCTCGCAGATTGTTTCACTCACACCAGACTTCTTGCTGCCAGTGGCTCGGATGAGCTGGAAGAGCTTCCGGTAGTTACCAGATGCAGCTGCTGCTTCCAGCTCATTAGCACGCATCGACCACCAGGCTTCTCGGTCCTTACGCAAGCTTTGCCCAATTTCCTTACGTAACATCCTTCGTTTATGGTCAAACTCACGGTCACCCGGAGTAGACCGACGGGCTTCAATGAGTTGTAAGGAACCAGAAGAAACCCAGTGCTTAAAGCGGGACGTTTCGCAAACCCACAACTGACTGTTCCCGCCATTTTCATGGCGTCATGCAATTGCAACCAATGCTCATCTATACTTTTCGGTGGAGTGGTAGCTAGCCTAGAGGCTAGCTCGGTTCGATACTTACTTGCAACAGAAGTTGCAACCAGCTTGCTAACATCAATCCGTTGGTGGCGGTCACTTCGTTGTCCACTGAAAAGTAAGGCAAGATTGGCGCAGACCAAGGCATGGTCAGAGTCCAGATAGGTACTCCAAAAGGAGCGGCAGTCTTGTACACAACCACGCCAGCGGTAGCTGATCGCGATGTGATCAATCTGAGTCCAGGCTTGAGATGCAGAGGGAGGACGCCAGGTGGCACATCGGCGATGACTGTGCCGAAAGTTAGTGCTAGCCAGAAACAGGTTGTGGTCTGTGCACAGTTGCAGTAGACGGTCTGTTGGGATATTCAGGAAAATATCCCAAAAATTATTCGATGAAGTCTAATGCTATTCTTGGACTTGGAGATGGTATTATTCTCTTATTGGTCAGTGCTTATTTCACGTGTCATTTTCCTACTGGTCAATATTTTTTATTTTATGGCACGATGTGGTCTGCTTGATTAGTATCTAAACAGAGTGTGTTTGAAATATAATGATTCATATATCCAAGGCTGAGACTTGTGTTCTGGACTCAACTGGCTGGGCTAGACAAAGAAGCAGGACCAATCAGAACCCTAGGCTGTTCTTACGTGTTTGCGCGTCTTTGATCCGATCAATAATTCGCTACCCCTTAATCAGCAGCATTTTCAAGTCATAACACGGTCCCAGTTATCTGTCCTGCGATCAACGTGTCCCCATCGGCCATCTAAACGACTCTCTTCTGCGCCTAGACGCCCGACCTGAGCATTCAAGTCTCCGGCTAGTACTACAATATCTGTCGAACGCAAATCCTGGAGAAGAACAGATAACTGGTGGTAAAACTCATCCTTGATTGCATCCGGGCTGCAATCTGTCGGGGCATAGGCGGAGATGACGAAAAGACATGGTTTCCCACGTCGATTTCTTCTCACTTTGATGGGACTTTCTAATCTAACAGCACATAACCGACTGTCAATAGGAATCCAATCATTCAGTGCTGCCTCAGCTCTAGCGCTTAGTGCGACACCAACGCCAGCAAGGCCAGACGAAGATGCCACAGGGTCCTCGGATAAACGCACGTAAAACAAGCTTTTCGAAGCGACAGATGGAGAGCGAATTTGTAGTACATCACCAGAGTCTTGAATACGGTCTCGGATAGACACTAGACATCGATATTAAGACTTTCCAAAGACATAGCCAGCCCTATCTGTTGTCCAACCTGCATAAGTGTGCGAACGTTGAAGGCAGCCAGTTTGAATGGTGCACGTGGTTTCAGAAAAACTGCTTCAGTACTCATATTCGGTGGTAACATACAATTTTCAACCGAACAGTGACTCGAGAACGTTTAGATACAGTCGAACTTCCACCAGAGACGAGCCGCTGTATAAGTATAAAAGAGGGTGAATAATGTGGTAAATAATAATAATAATAATAATAATAATAATAATAATAATAATAATAACAATAATAATAACAGTAATAATAATCATTTGAATGTTAGTTGAAGCAAGTAAAGTAGTTCCCATAATTATAGACAGTTCATCATATTTGTGTGTGGGCTGTGATACTGCCCGGGTGCCCAGACCGAAGCAGGTGGTTATCTTAGGGGGCCACACCCCGAGGCTTTGACCTAAAGCTCTAACCCAAAAGGCAGTGGAGCTTAGTAAGGAGATGCAGTCCCCTGGTAGCCATTTGTTCCCGCAGGATACTGGAGCCCATGTGCACCATTGGTTTGGGGTCCGGTTAAAGCACCGGACATTCGCTTTTCGTCCTCTCATTTTCGTAAACAACACCCCCGCCACGAGAAGGCAATGAGTAGGACTGCCCTGGCAGAGGCTGTATACGCGTGGTCGTGTGAGAGTATTTCGAGAGGGAGAGAGGACTCTGCCCACTCTCGGTCGTACCAGGGCCATTGTGATCGATTCTGAGAGTCCCCAACCATTGGTTACGATGGTCACGCGGACCCCAACCACGTAGTCTGTATCAACCAACATGGCTCAAACTGGAAGTTGTTGACTTCAAGCATTGATGCCACGTTCTAATTTGGCCGCCTCTAACTTTCTTCCAACTATCTCCAACACCCAATAGCATTGCACATCGTGGTAGTCGGTGTTCAGCCATACGTAACACGTGGCCCAACCATCTCAGTCGATGAAGATTCACAACCTCATCAACTGATTTACCATAATTTCCTAATACCCTGAGTCTAACCTCACTATAACTTACCCGGTGATCCCAGCAGATGCCAGCAATATTTCTAAGGCATCTGTGGTCAAATACTAGTAGCTTACGAGTGTCTTCTACTCCTAGTCGCCATGTTTCGCTGCCGTAACTTAAAACAGAACGGACTGCCGCGCAGTATACTCGTCCCTTAATCGATAGACGGATATCTCCAGAATGAGCGACAATCTTCTATCGACCCTCTCCTACGATGAATGATGGCAATATGGTCTATTTGAGTCCATCGTTGGTTTGGTGTAGGGGGTCACCATGTTAGATGATGTCTCTTCTTGTGCTTAAAATTTGTTTGCTAAAAATAAACGATTGTCTGAGCACAGTTGCAGCAGACGATCACCATTATCTGTTCGTTGTGCCGGAATACTAAAATACCCTTCATAATGCCTTTCTGTTTGGTTTAAACTACCTATCTGTGTATTAAAGTCACCTGCTACGAGTACTATGTCTGAGCGTTTAGCTTTCTGTAAAATTCATCTTTCACTTCATCTGAGCTGCAGTCGGTGGGAGCGTAAGCAGAAACGACAAAAAGGCAGTACGACTTCGCCTTCGGACTTTAGGTTTGTTGCTTTTGGTCTTGCCGCTCTTCAACCGACCTGTCTGACATGGTAGGACCTTGAGGAACGGTTGTTCCAGCCAGTATAGCTCGGTTGCTTCATCACGATAGGCAAGCCCGACTACCACGTCAAGGTAGCAACAACGGTCGGTGATTTTGGCTGGTACATTGACGTGGTGATCTGGCTTGCTTATAGTGATGAACCGATAGCGTTATATTGGGTGGATTAATTGCTCCTGTAATCCACTCATCCTAAGCAGATTGGTTGAAGAACGGTAAGAGTAAAAGTAGCCAGATCGGAGAGTGAAGCTGTACTGCTGACTGTACAGGAGTGTAACGGCAGTAAGATATTTTTTCAGATAACCAGTATCTACAGAGTTACTGTTTTTTCACAACGAAGGGAAGAGGTTAGAGAAGGTTTTTCCTCAAATTGTCACATCTTATTGCACGTATTTCCGTCCTTGGATGTAAGACTGTTTGAAATACGGATCTAACACATCGAAAAATCAAAACAAAAAGACTGTGACCAACTTCAATCAGTGCGAAATTTATTGCAACAGTCATCGATAAAAGCTCTTAGTGAATTCGTTCAGTGACCACTTAAACAACCCCTCATACAGCCCTTCTAGGGCTACTGAGGACCCAAGGAGGGTTGGGAATGCGGTCGGCAACCCTATATCGTTGAAACCAAACTTGCTAAAAAACGCTAACCAGAAAAATTCATTTAAACTCTGCCCTGGAAGTTAAAAGATTTTCATTCAGGAGTGATGATACCTCACGGTGAAACCCCAAATTCTTCGAAAGTCACGAGACTGATGCCCCTCCTGACGACCAGAACAACAATTAACGTGGACACATAGAATTTCCGCACATATGGGAGACCGGGAAAACCATGTAACTCCAGAAATGAAGAGATACAACCTGGCGGTGCTCGCAATAAGTGAAACTCATTGGACACAAGTTGTAGCGAAAAGACTAGCTTCAAGAGAGGTACTTCTGTACTCTGGTCATGGAGAAGTAACTGCTGCACATACACAAGGAGTTGCACTGATGTTGTTTAAAAATGCATGGAAAGCACTCATTAATATGTAGAGCCAATCAGAAGTAGCAAAATGTTACTCGATGGTAAATAGAAGAGCGTAGTATACCACGTATCAGTATCAGATTTCGGACACCGCATTTCACAACACTTACAGGGTAAGAATTTCATGGATTCGGAATCATCAAAGCTTCCTGTAAAGCAAAGGAGGGAATTACAATGAATGTCATTCAGTGCTATGCACCCAACAGTGAGAGCGAAGATCAGAATGGACAACACGGGGTATGAAGATATCATGAGTCGACATGGACTGGAAGAAAGGAAGTAAAATGACAGATTTGCAAAGCTATGTGCCTTCAACAAAATGGTTATAAGTGGCACAATATTCCGCCACAAAAGCATGTACACAGCTACACAAGTTTCACCGGACCATACTATGCAGAACCACATCGATCAGACTTGTATCAATAAAAAATTAACAAGGTCCATGGAAGACGCGAGAACAAAGAGAAGAACGGATGTAGTTTCATGCCACAACATGGCGGTGGTCAGGGTGGAACAAAATCTAAAGAAGCACTGAAAAACTGGAGAAGCAGCATTACAAAAGTTTAATACTGGCTTTCATCAAGATACTGACGAACCTGGAGAATTCAAGATAGTTCTCAGTAACAAGTTCCAAGCCTTACAGCATCTAACTGACGAATAAGAAACTAATATGCAGAAGATCTGGAAAGAGATCAAAAAAGCACTAACTTCAACAAGTTAGATACTAGGCCACAAGGGCCACCATCATAAAGTAAGATCTTTATTATTACGCTGACAAGATTCAATAAAAGAATAAGAGGACAGCAATTAACAACAACCGAACATAAGCAGATTAATTCACCGCACAGGCCAAATACAAATAAGCAAACAAGCGAGTGCAGAGGAGCATCAAATCTGACAAACAGAAGTACGTGGAAGACCTATCAATGACGGCGGGAAAAGATGCGAAAGAAAGAAATATCAGACAGCTATATGAAACAACAAAGAAGCTAGCAGGGAAATATAGTAAACCAGAGCGACAAAGGAGGAAAGCGAATCACTGAGGTTCAAGAACAACGAGTATAAGAGTAGAGCACTTCGAAGAACTCTCGAGTAGGCCAGCTCCATTGGATCCACCGGGCGTCGAAGCAGCACGCACAGGCCTGCTTATAGATGTCACGCCACCAACGGTTGGAGAAATCAGCATGGCAGCCAGACAAATCAAGTGCGGCAAAGCAGCACGACCTGACAATATACCAGCTGATGCACTCAAGTCAGACATAGAAGTAACTGCAAACATGCTCCATATTCTGCTCAGGAAGATTTGAGAGGAAGAACAAGTGCTACCGATAGACTGAAAAGAAGGATACCTCATCAAGATACCAAACAAAGCTTTTAGAAGGCGAGAGAACCACAGAGGCATCACATTGCTATTAGGACCAAGGAAATTTTCGAAAGCGTTGTTGAACCAAATGAAAGATTCAGTAGACGCCCAACAAAATGAATTCCGTAAGGAACGATCATGTACCGACCAAATCGTGACACCATTGGTCACTGTTGAACAGTTAATTGAATGGAATTCGTCACTGTACATCAACTTCATCAATTATGAAAAAGTATTTGACAATGTGGATAGGAAAATATTATGGAACCTTCTTCAACACCATAGTTTGCCTGAAAAGATTGTAACATCATGAGGAGTCCATACGATGGACTACCTTGCAAAGTCGTGAATGGAGGGTAGCCAACAGACGCATTCTAAGTGATGATTGGTGTCAGACAAGGTTGCTTACATCCGCCCTTTCTCTTTCTTCTGGTGGTTGACTGGATTATGAACATCATCACAACTCAGGCGAAGCACAAAATACAGTGGACAACTAGGGTGGAGCAGGACGATCTGGATTGCGCAGATTACCTTTCCTATCCAATGCACAGGACAAAATCCGAGTGAGGACAGCCAGTGTAGCAGCAGCCTCTGTAGCAGTAATCCTCAACATACACACAAGGGAAAGAGCAAGATCCTGAGATACAACACACAACATTAGCAACAATCTACTCCGGCAGAGAACAAACCGGCTCCCAGATGAAGAGGAAATTAGGAGCAAATGCTGGAGGTGGATAGGAAATCTAGAACAACATATATAAGCGAACATTATTGTTTTCGATTAGATCCTCATCGGGCTTTACTCTAATATACAGTAATATTTATATGTATATATGAAATTATTAAACCAATCAAGGTAGTTTATAAAAATAGGAAATCATCAAACTTGGAGTTCTCAAGCAGAAAAAGAGACAGGCCAAAGGACACATTGCACCGGGAATCGGAGGCATACATAAAAGAATAAATAGCACTTAGAAGTGACTAGAATGTAGAGCACAGGACAGAGTTGATTAGAGAATCCTGGTCAGCGGCCCATATTCCGCGGGAGGTGACAAGTGTAGGTAGACTTACTTCGACGCAATCTCGAACGTTCTTCAGGGTGACACCACCATCAACTTCAATATCCACATTTGCATACCTTTCACGAAGATACTTAACCTTGAATAGAGTAAATAAGTCTTGAAATGTATTGATGTAAAACAAATACAGTAAAATAAAGATAAACTGTTGATAAAAATTTTATATATATATATATATATATATATATATATATATATATATATATATATATATATATATATATATATATATATATATATATATATATATATATATAACAGTGAAATAGGTCTTTTAACGACTCTAACTCGCTATTCATTGCTGAAGATATCTTACGAATGTGGTTTGTAGAAGTTAGCTAACAAAAGACAAATTATTTGAATGAATTTAATATTAAATATCTTGTCCTTATGTGACATGTAAAACAAAGTACACTCTATTGTGGTTGTGTCAATCGAACATGAACAGCATCAATCTAGGATTGGAAAAACATCCTAACATATGCTCACTAAGTAGAGATATCAAATGATTACACAAAAACCCGAACTATTGTTAAATAAGCTGGTAGACGAGATCTTCTAAATATGGAGATTTATATTATCATACTGGATTGTTTACAGATATCATCAATGACGAAAACTGATTTGAATACAGAATATACTGAATGGAGTTATATCTAATGTGGATCGAATAAGCTTATCTCGTTGCATAAAATTTCCTTAGTTCCCTTTGCGGATTTTCGGGCGATGCAAGTATAAGAGAATTGTGTACTGTTTGCTTCACTATCTGATACTTATGCGAGGATAGTATGCAGTGTGATTTCTTATTTGGTGTGCCTTGGGTAAGTTATGTATATGGAGTAAAGAGTATTTGAGATAGATGCTGAGTGGTTGTGATGCAATAAGATAAGTTTAGTTACCTTATTCTCCTCGCGAACTTAAGACTATAGTTAGAAGGCGTGCGTATTGGTGATCTGATAAGGGTGGAGTTTACGTTAGCTCAAGGTTAGTTGTTTCGGTCGAAATGTGTCACTAATCAGTGTTAAGGACGCGAGGTTATAGACGAAGTAGCATACGCGGGGTAGAAAATTGCAATCTGGATTATAATTGGCGAATCTAGAAAGTGAAATTGTAATGAACAAGAACACAGGCGAGGACAACCAAATGCACTTTCACACATAATTACGGAGTTATTTGGAAAAATGTGAAGACTATACGTTTAATACTTCATTTTCGAAATGTTTATCAATTGTCTCAAACTTTATTGTTCCTTCATTGCCATAACAATCACTCTCCGTCCCCGTTTTCTTCCATTCGATCTTCTTAACCTTCTGCTGCCAGGCATTCTATTTCTAACTGGTGTTACATACTACGTATGTCAACATAAGTAGCACACCACAATATCAGTCAATCTGTCAGTCATAACAGATTGGGATTACGTACCCGTTTACAAAGATAAGAATTTACAACTTTAGTATTAAAAAATTTCTCGGATGAATGTGTATTAGAAATACTGATATTTCTTTGACAAAACCACACTTAAGACTATTAGATTTCAAACAATAAATGGACTCGAATCGGCTAAGTTTTTTAGTTCAGGAACTAGAATTATTATTATTATTATTATTATATTTATTATTATTATTATTAATGGCTTTATTCAATATCATACTTTGGTACGATATAGAATACTCAGCACAGGGTATTTCAACAAGTTACTTACGCAAAAAAAGGAAAAAAAGGTTTAAAAAAACCGAAAAACTGTACAATTTTTCAAATCACAGACATGTTAAGAATGCAGATTATTGACTAGATTAACTCTAACAACCTGTTCGTCACAGAGTATATTTGCTAGGTAAGGTATTATAGAACTTTTATAATTTTGCTTGCGTGCAGGGATTTTAATGTAATTACGTCTCGTTCTACCAGAAGATATATAAGGAGAAAGATAAGAGTGAAGGGGATGGTTAGTATCTGATAAAATAACACCTGCCAGGAGTTTGAATGACTTTAGATGTCTATCCACAACCATATTAGTTATGACGTCGAACGATTCACCACATCTTGCTAACTACCTTCAGCACTCTCCGCAATACAGCAAAGTCTTTTCTCAAAAGCCCGGGAAAGAATAATAGAAAAAGTAAAGAATAATAGGTAATATGCAAGAATTGACAAATTATAAGAGTAAATGACGAGCAATCCCAAGAGCATGCAATCTCTTTATGTAGTAAGTCAGACGGAAAACCTTCTTCGATAACAATAAAACGTAGGAAGACCAAGAGAGATTAGAGGAAAAGGTGACACCAAGATAATTGACCTTCGACACTGTGTTTATCAAAGTCTCCGATGGTACAAGCATTATGGGATCTCAAAATGGTGTTTAGATTCCGTTCATGTCTCATGCTAAAGTTAACAGCTTGACATTTAGACGGATTAAGTATGAGACCATTACCAACAGACCAACAATCAATACGAGACAAAAACTCATTCATTTCTATGGGACGTAAAGAGGAAGAGATAGGCATACATACAGTAAGATCACCCGCATATTTCAAAAAAGTGTTTTCTGTGGAAGATGGCAGATCATGCAGAAAAAAAGAGGAAAGAAGAGATGAAAGAACAGCTCCTTGTGGTACACCTTCATGAGACAGCAGAGACTCTGAACACTTTCCTCCAAACACAGTGTACTGTTCCCTTCCAGAGAGGTAGGAACATAGCCAGTTGGTTATCCAGCTGTCAGTGTTGACGATGATTAACTTGTTAAGTAAACGTTGTCTTGGTATAGAATCAAAAGCTGAAGTATAGTCCAGAAAAGCACATCGAACATACTTCTTACCCTTTTCCAAGTTGAACACTATATTGTGATGCAGAACAGCAATAGCATCTAAGGTGCTTCTTTTGCATCTGTAAGCAAACTGATACGGATCAATATGCTCTTTTATCGCAGGCTGAAGTGGAAGTATTAATAATTTTTCCATTGTTTTGAGGAAGGGTGAAGTTATTGCAATAGGTCTAAATTTCACATTCTTATCACCAGATACTTTCTTGGGTACAGGGATTATCTTCATCTTTCTCCACATTTTCGGTATGAGATTAGATGAGAAGGATCTGTTAAAGATAGTCGTGAATAGACAACATAGAACGTCAGCACATTTTTTAAAAAAGATTTTTGGGATACCATCAGGTCCTAAACATCGGGATGAATTAAGTGACTGGAGACATCTCGAACATCAGTTTCAGTGAAACTAGGAACACAGCTATTATTTAAACCTATGGATGAAGGGAGCATCACATCAGATGACTGACGTACAAAAGACTTATTTAAGTCACAAACATTCAGCTGGTTATCGCTTCTAAATTGTCTGTCACCTGTAAGTTCTTTAAAGAGTTTCCACATACTTGGAGAGTTTTTGCAAGACAAGAGTTTTTGAGTAAACATAAAGTTGAGACGTCTAATCTCTAGGTTTATCAGACCATTTAGCTTACGAACTTCATTGGAGTTCTTCTCCTTGTACATTCTTTCTTTCATCCTCCATAGTCGTTTTAGTTGTGTAGATGTAAGTCGATCAAAACTTATAAAAATGGTTTCACTGGGACAACAAATATCAAAACAGAATTTAAGGTAACAAGTGATAACATCAGTAGTGTTTTCCAGTGAGTCATCTGTAAATAATTCCCAGTTAGTCGTATGAAACATGTTTTTCAGATTTCGGATATTTTCTTCTGAGTAATTCCTATATTTGACTTTCTTGGTTTGATGTAAGAGTGTACTCTTCCCATGCTTTCCATATACTTTAGGTAGAACACGAATTATACAGTGATCCGAGCTAGACAATGGGGCACGTTTACGAGTCGCATATATACCCACATCGTTAATGAAAACGAAGTCTAAATGAGCATCCAAACGAGTAGGAAAATCTACTACGTTTTGGTGACCTAGTGACGTAAGGAAGCTACAATCACATGAATTGAAATCACCACATACAACTGAAAGTGAATCACTGAAGGTAGTAACAGCGAACTCAGTGAACTCATCAGCAAAAACAGATAGTGCAGATGATGCGCAATCAGGAGTCACGTAGATATTGGTAACATAAACATATTTGTATTTATTCAGATGTTTTGGACGACATCTTAGATTTAGACAGTCGATAAAGTCATTTGAAAACTTCAAACACACAAACGAAGATTGACACCAGTTTATATTTACAAACGTAGCTACACCGCCACCACACCTCTTTTTATTGTTTGATCGATCCTGACGATAAATTTTGAAATCACGTAGTGACACTAGGCAGTCATCCTGTAAATCATTTAACCAAGATTGTTGATTTTTGATGACACCACAATTACGATACATATTTTGACTTAGTAGGAATTGTAGATAGTCCACTTTGTTGATTAGTGATCGGCAGTTAGAATTTAGCAGCTCGGGAATCGACATATGATTAATATTCATTCTCTTTAACGCATATTGCCAACCACCACGATGTCTTTTATAGTAATTTTTGTAACTTGTGCAGCGAAAGGTCGTAGGCTTTTTATAAAAGCGCCTGAATAGGTTATGCGATTAATGGACATAATGAGACGTTAAAAAAAAATGAAAGAACAGATAACCTGTTGAAATAATTAGATGGCAGAAGCAGGTAACCCAGATATTCAAGCAGGCCGCCGCTTTTTGTTTGGGTTGCATTTTATTTATTTATTTGTGCATACATATTGGTACAAGGGGGTATTAGATATATATGAGCTTTTAATTTACAAACACTGTTTAATCTTGAGTTTTGAATGATGAAAATCGAAACATAGAACTAGATATTATTACAAGAGTAAACACATATACACACTAAACGAAGGTATGAAGACTGTCATGGAGTTTACACTGATAACTATAACACAAGGTATACAGAATGACCTATAAAATAATCGAAAATGAGAATTTAGATCATATTTTTAGCATTGTGGCAAATAATGATAATTTTATTTGTTTTGTTACACGATTTCAGTTTTTACAACCAACTCTAATATTAATAGTATTATGACTTAAGCAAATGATAAGAAAAAATGGTTTACCTTTGGTAACATATCTGCCATAAATTTTGCCCACCAAAACCGGGTTCGACAGTCATAATTAAAATCATATCAACGGAGTCAACATAAGGTAATACTTCGGTGACTGGTGTTTTTGGTTTTATACCAAGACCAACCTGGAAGATAACAAAAATCTCGTGTTACAAAACAAAAAGCAATGAAATGACGACAAGCTAAAAAAAATCCTGTATACTGTACATAATTGTACTAAATGTATAGAATTCTGTGTTTGGATGATTAACCTGAAGCTGAGTGAGATTTGAGCTCCGGTTATTCAGCGCCGCTATGAAAAACTGACAGCGACCTACATTTAGATGTCACCGCAGTTGTGATAAAGTACTGATTTCATTAGAAATGATGGAGGGAAACTATGAATGAAACATGAACAAAAACTAGTCATTTGATTTCGTAGATTGTACTTAGGCTAACTTTGTTTGGGTAACGGTGTTAATAAAAGCCAAATACGAACTCAGTCAGTCAGTCAGCTACAACGTAGGACCAGGCACATATGTGCATCGGTCCAGGTTGCCATACCTCATTAGCACAGCAAGATGAACACCGGATTCATAAGTAGTTAATTCAGAGGTGGTAATATATAGGAGAAAGATTGCAATAAGGATATAGTATAGGAAGAAAGAATTAGTTCGTAGAAAGAAAGATATGAAGTGATTTTAATCTCTTAGTTTAAGGAAGACAGGAGTGTATACACCGACGCCATTGTGATCGATTCTGAGCCATGTCACCAAGAGTCTCCAACCATTGGTTACGAAAGTCACGCGGACCCCAACCAAGTAGTCTGCATCTACCAACATGGCTCAGACTAGAAGTTAGTGACTTCAGGCACTGATGCCACGTTTTGGTTTGGCCGCCCCTAACTTTCTTCCAACCATCCCCTACACCGGTTAGCATTGCACGTCGTGGTAATCGGTGTTCAGGCATACGTAACACGTGGCCCAACCATCTCAGTCGATGAAGATTCATAACCTCATCAACTGATTTACCATCATTCCCTAATACCCTGCGTCTAACCTCACTATTACTTACCCGGTGATCCCAGCAGATGCCAGCAATATTTCTAAGGCATCTGTGGTCAAATACTAGTAGCTTACGGGTGTCTTCTACTCTTAAGGGCCATGTTTCGCTGCCGTAAATTAAAACAGAACGAACTGCCGCGCAGTATACTCGTCCTTTTATTGATAGACGGATATCTCGCCTCCGCCAAAGGTGACGTAAGTTGGCAAAAGCCAAACGAGCTTTACGAATCCGTGCTGAGATTTCGTCAGACACCAACCCATTAGGGCTGATCAGACTTCCAAGATAAGTGAAGTTGTCAACGCGTTCGACTACTTCACTCCCTATCCTTAGTTCAGGTGTTGACGCAGACCAGTCCTGAAGCAACAACTTGCATTTAGAGGGAGAGAAGCGCATCCCAAACATTCTGGCATTGTTGCTTAGTGCTACCAGAAGACTCTGCATTTTGTCAGCGTCTTCACCAAACAGGACTATGTCATCTGCGTATTCTAAGTCGATAAGTGGACCTCCTGGAAGGAGATCAATACCCGAGAATTCAGTCGACGAGAGTGTTATTTCCATCAATAGGTCTATGATGAAGTTAAACAAAAATGGAGAAAGTGGGCAGCCTTGACGGACACCACTTGAGGTTGCAAAAGTAGATGACAGTTCGCCATAAGCCCTGACTCGACTAGTAGTGTTCGAGTAAAGAGCCTTCACAAGGTTTATGTACTTCTGAGGTACGCCTTTCAATGACAGACACTGCCACAGAGTCTCGCGGTCTACAGAGTCAAATGCTGCTTTTAAGTCAAGAAAGACCACCATCGTCGGACGCCGATAGGTATGCCTGTGTTCTAGAACCTGACGAATGGTGAATATGTGGTCGATGCAGCCACGACCAGGTCTAAAGCCAGCTTGGTTCTCTCGTGTTTGTAGTTCACGAGTCTTAGTTAGGCGTTTGATAATTATCGAGGCCAGTATTTTAGATACTATGTTTGTTAAACTAATCCCTCTGTGGTTGTCACAGGATGATTTTGACCCTTTCTTATATATTGGGACGATAAGTGATTGCGACCAGTCAGATGGGATAACGTCTAATTCCCAGATCTTAGCTAAAATATTAGTCAACCTAATCGCTAAAATTGGACCACCATCCTTAAAGACCTCTGGAGCCAATCCATCTGGACCAGCTGCCCTTCCTCGTTTCAGATTAACTATAGCCTTCTCAACTTCAGCAAGAGTTGGGGGACCTACTTCAATGTTCCATTCACATTGTCTGGGAATGGAGGGTAGTTGTAGAGTAGCTGAAGGCCAGCTGAACTGTTCTCTAAAATGTTCCGCCCATCGTTCTAAACGTCTGGACTGGGAGCAGATGAGAGTATCATCTTTTTCCGAAATAATCTCACTTACACTTGACTTATTAATTCCAGTTTCTTTTATTAGTCTGTAAAGCTGTCTTGTGTTCCCTATAGTCGCCGCCTTTTCCATCTCTTTTGCTTTCGTTACCCACCACTGCTCACGGTCGTTCCTTAGACTTTTTCTTAACCTAGATCTGATTTGTTTACGCTCTTCATCATGTTCAGAACCTGATGGGACGAGTTTGCGAGAATCCATCAGTGTGACAGACCTTGAAGAAATCCACTGGTTCCTTGTAACTCTTTAAGTCACTAATAGATGTCACTGCTGTTTCCACAGCTGATTGTATGCCCTTCCAAGCAACATCTGGGTCAGCCTCGTCTTCACAACTACCTAAGTGTGACCTCAGTTGTTCCTGGAACCTACTTTTGGTTTTCTCGTTACTCAACTCAGTTCTAACGGGTCTTTTTAATGTGGCTTTTTTGCGTCCAGTGAGGCGCAAGCAGATGCGTGCCCGTATTAGGGCATGGTCGGAGTCCAAGCAGGTACTCCAGAATGAGCGACAATCTTCTACCGACCCTCTCCAACGATGACTGATGGCAATATGGTCTATTTGAGTCCATCGTTGGTTTGGTGTAGGGGGTCGCCATGTTAGACGATGTCTCTCCTTATGCTTAAAATTTGTGTTTGCTAAAAATAAACGATTGTCTGAGCATAGCTGCAGCAGACGATCACCATTATCTGTTCGCTGTGTCGGAATACTAAAATATCCACCTAAATGCCTTTCTGTTTGGTTTAAACTGCCTATCTGAGCATTAAAATCACCTGCTACGAGTACTATGTCTGAGCGTTTAGCTTTCTGAAGAAGTTCGGACAGCTTTCTGTAAAATTCATCTTTCACTTCATCTGAGCTGCAGTCAGTGGGAGCGTAGGCAGAAACGACAAAAAGGCAACGACGTGTGTCCCTATCCTTCCGAGTTCTTACGTAGCCGTTCAGCCGAACAGCACATAGACGACTGTTGACGGGGATCCACTCTAGCAGTGCTTGTTCGGCCCTCATGCTTAGTGCTATGCCTACACCTGCCAGTCCACGAGAACTTGCCATCGGGTCACCAGATACACGAAGGGTGTATCTCGTTGGCTCTCCGTTTTGCCGAGGTGAGGTCAAGTGAATGACCACACTGGAATCCTGTATGCGTGTTTCGGAGACACAGCACACGTCAATGGTAAGAGACTCTAGGGTTTTAGCCAAGGAAGCCTGCTGACCGATTTGACATAGGGTGCGTACGTTGAAGGCTTCAATGTGTAGTTTGGAGCGAGGTTTCAGTAGACCTGGGACAGTGTTTTGAGCACTAGAATCGTTGGCTATGGTGACACTTGAGGGGGAAGCCGAAAAAGGAAGTTTAGCGTTGGAAGTCGATATAGGAGGAATAATAGGAATTGAAGTGGGAGGTTGATTACGAATACAGTGGTCTTGAGTGCTGTTAGAAGTATGAGGGCGGTTATCACTTCCCGGTTGCCCACACCGTGGAAGGGTTGTTCTGGAGGTTCCTGAAAAGGAAATTGGGTTAAAGGTGGTCTTAGTGACCTGAGAGCGTGACCGCAGTGCCCAAGGAACAACTGCTTGAGGTCGGTCACACACGACCTTGTTATGGGTAATTTTTGTGTTAGCTCCGTACTTATTGAGACCTTACCGCCGGAGACGGATATCCGTGGGATAAGGCGAGGTGTGCATTTTTAGGGTCGACCTTTTCTAACTCCACCCCTCCTTGTGGGAAGGCAGCATCGCTGTCATGCTGGTTGTCTGAAGGAAACACCTTACTGCTGTCACACCTCTGTACAGTCAGCAGTACGACTTCGCCTTCGGACCTTGGGTTTGTTGCTTTTAGTCTTACCGCTCTTCAACCGACCTGTCTGACATGGTAGGACCTTGAGGAACGGTTGTTCCAGCCAGTATAGCTCGGTTGCTTCATCACGATAGGCAAGCCCGACCACCACGTCAAGGTAGCAACAACGGTCGGGATGAATTTCTTTCAGATACTCGATTACTCAAACAGACAATAGGATGAGAAACGGAAAAGGCAGATGTACCTACTCAAAATATTACTTATTGTAAGCATCAATACCTCAAAATAGATCATGCTTATTACAAAGAGACAGATATCGGATAAAATAATGAGTGTCCAAGCACACAACTACGTATGAGATATGTAAGTGTAGTATTGTAATGACATGAATATGATATATATATATATATATATATATATATATATATATATATACTAGAGGTCACAATTCCCTATGAAAAAAAGAGTTGTTAGGATGATCAAATTAATTCAAGTATATCCAAAAGCTAGAAGGACACATGTGTAATGGCATTACGTGCTACAGAGTACAACCTACTAACCTAAACACATTTGGATGTCTCGATACTTATTATTTTAATAGACCATTCAATCATTTCGAATGAACTGGAAATATAGTGTAAAACGCAAAAATTGCGAGATGAAAGATAATGTTAAATTGACCTGATAAGAAAACGAAAGAAACAATATTCTATGCAGTGTGCTGTGTAATATTTCCAATATACCACTTAATACTAGTCAAGTATGAAAAGAGTGTTAATGGATAATAAAATCTAAAAAGAAACTTGACTATATAAAAGTAATTGTTGTTTATGACTAGTTTTTAGTCTAATAACCGTAGACTAGATCCCTTCGATATTTAAAATAGTCATATTGAAGTTGTTTGATAAACTTCTTCACTATAATGAGCTTTTGTATATGACAGCACACCATAAATAAGAATGATGACATTAACATTAAAATATAAAATCGCTAACATAAATAGGGTTTTTGTTGATACTCACTTTCATGTCAGCTTCACGTATTTTGTGAATACAATGCATAGCATTTCCAGTTGATTCTAAGTGAAAAGTGTATTGGCTTGCTCCAGCAGCTTTCATATTTTCAACCCACTTTCAAATATTAAAGTACAGTAGGGAAGTAGTACGCGTATGAAACTGATGCATTAGAAATATAAATTGGATATGCTCAATTATAAAACTCAACACTACAATCAGAACAATTTAGGTGAAGTTTGATAATAATTGTTTTATGTGAGACTGTGGCAATCTTCTTAGAGGTGATATCAACTGACCCATATTGGTAGATGCAAACTGCCTGGCTGGATAGAGGTGATAATCATGTCCAGTGGTTAGAGGCGCTGCGGCAACTCAAAATTGGTGGCCCGGACGCTTTAAATTTTTGCTTATCTCTAGATGATGAGTTTAAAAAATATTTTATACATACTTTGAATAGATTCATTCTTTCTCCTCGAACCATATTCACTGTTCCTAGTTGTTTTTTCTATCACTGATATTGCTACTTCCACTTTGGTGTTCAGCAAGATAAATTAATCTTGTGTTGACTCCTTGTTGCTCTAAGGATGCGGATGCTAATAAAGTACCGATTCTACTTAGTTTCGTATATCTTGTATCGACCGACCACATTAATACAACGTAGAAAAAGTAGAATACTAAATATGTTTTCCGATATTTATATTTCATACATACATGTGAAGACCATGCGAACTTTAATAGAGCAGCGAACATGGAAGTCGGTATTCTAGATAAAAATCGATGAGTAATGGATGACTTAATCTGTATATAAGGCAATAATGTATAAACTACAGAACCAATTAAAGTATATGCACGTGGGTTAAGCACACACATGCATAAAACCCTTAACGTTACAAATGAGTATTTGATAGGGATAAATACGTGAGTGCAAAGAATAAATTCACGTAGGGGTCGTAAAGAGTCTAGAAAAGCAACCATATCCTTAAGTTGGACTGAAACAAACTTGTGCCAGTTTTTTACGTGGCTTATGTCGAACAGACTATTGGTAATTAAATTCATCTACTATGAACACATTTATGCACTTATCTCCGTACCATATTGTTTATGCGAGTATCAGTCATACTACCCAGTTGACTAAATGGTTGACGGTGTAGTACTATTACCAAGTATGAGAATTGAAAGTAGGTGAAGTGTTGCTCGAACATATGGTCCACTGGGCGAAAACCGAGTGCTTCAGTAAAGCAAAATGGTGACAATTTTGTATAAAAATTTTTACTTGTGTAGCAATAATTGAGGAGTTTGTATTTTCTTACGCGTAAAATGTTTATTACTCATCCTATAACTCATATTAACAGTAAATATATTTATAAGGAAGATACTAAGATAGGATCTATACCAAAACCGCATTACATTGATTTAAAATCAATACCAGTAACTTAAACCGCATAAGATTTTGTACACTGAGACTGGTAAGGATAAGCTTTTTTGAAACTATTGACTCTGAAGCAGTTATTTACTACAACTTGATAATTTTCTGAAATTCGTTCATCTTAGGTCATTTTGGGCTAATCAAAATCGTTAACTGAAATAAAACAGGATACTTGGAAACACTGAAAAATTATTTCGCACCACTTTATTAGTCAGTAAACAATACCCACTTTTTTGATGTTAACTCTTTAGACTAACATAGCTTGCAAAATCGCTGAAAAGAATAATAATCTGACTTAATTCAAACAAATGCTAATTTTTGATATGATTGGCAATTATTTTTTCGAAGGCAGGAATGACTGAAACTACTAAAAAAATCTCGATCGTTGGAATATAATCCGTTGATTGTAGCACGTTTGTTATGCGACTTTTAAATTAGTTAATTAATTTTGTAAAGGATTTCGAGCAAAATATTGGAGCTGATAATCTAAAATCGATTGGATTTTAGTGGTTTGTCGGCTAGTTTTAGGTTACAATGTAAGGAAATCAAATTACATAAATGTTTTTTAAAGATTCTTCGAATGATAATTTATTCTGTAGAAAATCTATAGCAATACATCACAGCGAACTACCTTTTCGGGATTAGAAACCATCATGTGAAGATCTAAAAACGCCTTGGATGGAAGGTGTTTTTTCAAAGACGCTACAACAGGGTGCCCAAATGTGATATTGGGTACGAAATGTCCATCCATGACATCGAGGTGTAGGTAATCAGCGCCAGAGTTAAGTAGATGATCACAAACAACAGCTAGTTTGGACAAATCCGCATTCAAAATTGATGGTCCAATAAGTATAGGTTTAGAACAAATGTGAGTCATTTTAACTGAAAACAAGAGAATATATTTCAAAAGCATCTATAAAAAGCACAATAACTTCGAAAGTAAGCTAGTAAAGAAAATGTGAGTTTAGCCTAATTGTAGTTAAATCACTGATAAAATAATTTTTTTATGAAACTTATTGACATTAGTAACTAGTTCCAGATCCCGTTACTACGCAAGTGTAGACACTAATGCATACTAAGAAAGGGAGTTTAGAACATGTTTACTGAGTTTTTTTTCAGAAATGTTTGGAAATCTTTACACATTATAGTGATGCGCACAAAGGACTTTAAGAAATTCAACTCTCTAGAGACTGGAAAGATGCTATAGTCAGTCCTATATTTAGAGATGGTCAGAGATATCGTATCTAACTACCGACCTGTCAGTCTAACCAGCATAGTCGTTAAGTTACTAAGTCACATAGAATCATACGGTCTTTTAACTTCCTAGCCACACGAGTTTCCAAACAAGCGTTCATGATTGACCAACTTACTTATTGCGAGAGAGGATTGTACAGCAGCCCTAGATGACGGTTTGCCTCTCGATGTGATATTCATAGAATTTAACAAGGTTTTACACCTAGGTTTTATGCAGAAGTTTTCGAGCTTCAGAATAACAAATGCTGCACAGGAATGGATAGGATACTTCCTATGTGGCCGCAGACAGACAGTGGGTGTTTATGGGACGCTAAGCGAATAGAAACCGGTCAAATGTGGTGTACCCCAAAATTCGATCGTACGTCCCCTACTTTTCCTCCCCTACGTCAATGAATTACCGTATTGCTTAAGTCGTCGACATTATTGTTTGCGGATGATATCGAAGTCTGGCGAAAATAAGTAGTGATCTTCAAGCTGACTTAGACGAACCAGTTAGATGGGCCCAATATTGGGGATTAAAAGTTAAGTCTAGAGTGGGCCCCTGAACATCGGACACGGTAAAAGTTACCAGTATACTACCGACGTTACATCTCTTCCATGCGTACAGGAACATTAAGACTTAGGGGTAATAGCAAGTCATGACTTGAAAACAACTGCGACGATTGACTTCAATTCGTCTACTAACAATAGTAGACGAATTACTGGGAGTGTTAACGCTCTCAGTTTACTGAATTTATTTCTCAGACTACAATCATTCGCATAAAAATCTTCTAGAGAGAACGACCTATCCAAACAAGCCTTAAGGCTATCAATTGATAGCATCCACTTCCAAAACCTGACTACTTGAAATTTTCTCTGAAACGCTGTCGAAGAATTTCTAGTTTAGTTAGTGCCACTTTCCTTTTAATTCTATTTTAGAGAGGCACATCAGGTTTTACTCGAATGTCAGTATTATCGTGACTTTGAGCGCTATTTCAGTCTTCAGTAGTAAGGATAGGAGGTCTGTCGACCTATATTAATCCTTGCAGTTTGTAATACTGTGGAGGTCCAATCTCGTTTTGAATATATTAACAGATGGTGCTGATATTACGTGTTCCGGTAGAGAATTCCAGTAATTCACTACTCGGTGCGAGAAACGGAACTCCAGACGTAAACGGTTTGATCTCGGTTTTTGAACTTTCTTCGAATGTCCTCTCAAATGATCGGTTCTAGACGGAAGCAAAAGATAAGACATGTTAATACCAAGGTCATCGTTCAGTATACGATAGGCCAATATTAGATCACCCCTTATTCTACGGTAAGATAACGGAAATAAGTTAAGGTGTCTCAGTCTGTCTTCATAAGATAGGCCAGATAGACCTTGTACCATCTTAGTAGCTCGTCGTTGGACTCTTTCTAGCATATCTGCTTCATATTTGAAACAAGGACACGCTGCTTGAATCCCGTATTCTAAATGTGGTCGCACATAAATCGGGTATAGTAATCTAAACATTTCATCATCTAAATACTGGAAAGACCTACGAATTGACCATAATACCCTATAGCCTTTCGCAGCAGCAGCCTTACAGTGACTAGTCGTTTTGAGATCATTGCTTAATATGACTCCTAAATCTTTATAGTTTCTTACTTTGGGTAGCACGAATCCACGTAGTGTATAGTCATACGATTCATCAGAGTTATTTAACTGCATCACTACACTCTTATTAGGATTTACTTCTAGTGACCACCTATCTAACCATGCCACCAATGAGCTAAGATCGTCCTGTAATACTATCCTATCCGACATACTATGTATGGGTCTCCAAATCTTTATGTCATCAGCGAAGAGTAGAACGGATGATTTTGCTACAGTTGGCAATTCATTTACATAAAGTAAAAAGAGAAGAGGACCCAGGATTGTACCTTGGGGAACCCCACTTTTTACAGGTACCCACGAGGAGAGAGCCCCATTAACCCTTACCCTTTGTCTCCTGTCATGGAGAAAGTTACTTATCCAATCGACGACTGTATAATGGATTCCAAAACGTTTCAGTTTGAATTTAAGACCAGAGTGGGAAACCTTATCAAAGGCTTTACTTAGATCTATGAAAATCACATCCACAGGAGCATTCCGATCCTTTGCCGCAGCCCAATCTTCTCGTGCAATGAGAAGATTTGTCAAGCAAGATAGGCCTTTCCGAAAACCATGTTGTTCCCTGGAGAAAAGATTTTGCCCTTCAACATAGTTTATAACAGCTATCCGAATGATTTTCTCCATCAGTTTTACAACTGCACTAGTTAAGCTAACGGGTCTATAGTTACTAACTAAATCCCTACTCCCAGCCTTATACACCGGACTTATTATGGCGTCTTTCCAGTCTCTAGGAAGTCTGGACTGTCTCAGAGACATGTCGAATAGTATCGCTAATGGTTCAGCAATTTCATCTGATATGGCTTTCATAATCCTAGGATGAATATCGTCAGGACCACTGGACTTATCAGGTTTGAGATGCTGGAGTAGCCTTAAAACAGTATCTTTCTCAATGACTACAGGATCCATCAGCGAGCCGTCACGGTCGCGACGAATCATTGGTCGTTCCTCATTACCGATAGAAAACACTTTACTAAAGTATTCCGATAAAGCTTCAGCTTTTTCGGCATCATTCTCTGCTAAGATTAACGGATTTTCTCGTATCAAAAGTGATGGAATTCCATCACTTCTCTTAGTTCGCCTTTTTATATACGAGAATAACCGTTTCGGACTATATCTAGAATCCCTAACCAATTGTTTTTCGTATGATAGTCTAGTCTTACTTATTAACGCTTTACAGGCATTCCTAATCTTACAGTAACTGGATCTGTATTGTTCTAAGCCAGTAGAGATGAACATATCCCAGTGATTCTTCCTTTTTCTAAGGAGTTTCCTGACCGTTTTAGTTATCCATGGTGGACTATTATTCGGTCTTCGCGGTACCAGGTATGGTATGAACGGGGACGTAACTAGTCTAAATTTACCTTTAAATACAGACCATGCTTCTTCAACTGATATGCTAGTATCTACTAACCAATCTGTCTTAGCAGCACATTCCTGAATGGCTGATATGTTAGCTTTCCATACATTTGGGCGAGGTGTAACCTGATCGTATAACATGTCCCTAGTTCGAAACGTGAATGACAAAACAGCGTGATCGCTGTTCACTAACGGCGGGAGAATATTTAAGTCGACAATATCCTCAGTCTCATGAGTGATTACCAAATCCAGCAGAGAAGAACCCTGGTTAACACCAAAACGTGTGGGTTGGGATACATGCTGTACTAGTGCATGCTCCATTATTGTTATCAGGAACTTACTATCAAAGGAGTTTATAGATCCTTCTGTGGTCATATCAGTCCAACTAATATCAGGTGCGTTAAAGTCTCCTATTATCAAACATCTGGTATTTTCACTCCAAAGATGAATGTGCTCTAAAACAAAGTCATCAGCTAGGCAGATTGGGCTCCGATAGATGACACCTAGCATAAATGTACTACATCCTATAGCCAACTTACAGCTAATGACTTCACAAGTGCCGCTATCATGGGATTCGCTAGTAGAGGAGCGGATATTTATGCTATTGGCTATGTATAACAGGACGCCGCCTCCTTTCCTACATCTATGTCTATCACTCCTGATGCAATGGTATCCGGATAATTCTGGAGTAATGTCTAAGTCATCGACTAACCAAGTTTCTGTCACTGCTACTATGAGTGGCTTTAACCTGTCCACTAGTGCTTCTAGTTCATAGAACTTATTTCGTAGACTACGAGCGTTGGCATATAAAACTCCTAAGTAGAACAGCCTATCCACACAGGCCTTGGTAGCATTCGCTTCCAAGACCTGACTATCCGAAAACCCACTAGCCGGAGATTTTCCTCGCCGTTTTGCCGACGGGTTTCAAGCTCAGCTAGTGCTTTCTTCCTTTTTATTCTATCTTCGAGAGATATGTCAGGTCTAACTCGGATGTCAGAATTGTCGTGACAACGAGCGCTACTTAACAAGAGATCCCGTTGCTTCTCCGATCCTAGGATTACCTTAAGGAGTCTGCATGGACGGGGTTCAACATTGTCCTCGGTCCTCTTGCCTATTCTTACCAACTTTTTAACCTGAACTCCTTTGGAGTTATCTGGTAAAATACTACGAATGTATTCTCCTAGCTTTTCTAAGTCATGCGCGTGTCTAATTTTCGGATCAGGGTCATTTGACTCCCGCAATTTGCTCACAATAATATTCGATGTTATTAGATTTTTCTTCTCAGTTACGCCAGGATGGGTTTCACTCTTACGATCAGATCTTGGTAGTGCAATTTGTGGCTCACAATTTGAGTCCACCAGTGAGTTACTAACTACCTGTGTACTGCTTACAGCTTTTTTCTTTTCGTTTCGTTTCCTACGTACCGTAGTCCATTTTTCATCCCTCATAACACTGGGACTATTTGGAACGGTGACTGTTTTATCCAGATCTTCGGTTCCCACTAAAGGTGCATTATTAACAATGTCAGTACTAGGTGGTACTACTCCCCCTGTTAATATCAACGAAGATTTCACTTTTACGTCGGTCAGAGTCGGTTGTTTGAGGCGTCGCGTAACAACACTGACACATTCGTCACTGTCAGTGCCCGTGTTGTCGGCGCATATGCCATCATTCTTCTTACAGGCCAAAGCCAATAGGCTCATAGCCTCCTGTATTAGCAATGCCTTGTTGGCACAGCAAAACATGCAAAGCCAATGTGAGTTAGGCTTCGAACATCTTTTATATGCAGTGGGACTTAAACGGGTGCACATTTTGTGGAACCATTTATTGCATTCGTCACACTGCATTCCCTCCTCCACAGGGAACAAACAGTTTGGTTGTCCACATTTGTGGGTACTACCAACCATTTTAGTCTGATCAAGGTGTAACACACAATATGATCACAGTATGAACCACAAGACAAACTCTAGCAAGATGTCAAACCTTAACTAAAGTACTTTGATACAGCAGTTTCAGTTTCAGTTTGGGAAGGACAGGAGGCTCGATGGCCTATGTTAGTCCTGGCAATGGTGGTCTCTCAGTTGATCCAACTTTCTTTTGAAAGAGTCGACGGATGGAGCCTCAACCACGTGCTGAGGTAATGAATTCCACTCGTTGATGATTCGATGGGAAAGTCGATAGTCAGCTGACAAGTAATTTGTTCTCGGCTTATGAACTTTTTTGGAGTGTCCTCGTAAATTCTCTGTTTTGGAAGACAAGAAAAATGAGGGCATGTTAGGTGCAAATTTATCACTAAGCAATTTGTAGACTGTAATCAAGTCGCCTCTAGTTCTGCGATATGACAACGGGAAAAGGTTCAGCTTGGCCAGTCGAGATTCATACGGAAGCTTCGCTATTCCGGGAACCAGCTTAGTGGCCGTTCTCTGAACCTTTTCCAGAAGCTCACTGTCTTTTTTAAGCAGGGGCTAGCCGCTTGTATGCAGTACTCAAGTTTAGGACGAACGAACACTGTATACAAAGTCAAAAACGTCTTAGCGTCGACATGACTAAAAGCCCTACGTATTGACCATAAGGTTCTAAAACTTTTGGCGGCTATTGCACGGCAGTGTGCAGTAGTCTTTAAGTCTTGACTAACGATAACTCCTAAGTCATTATATGTCTGGACGACAGGTAGCTCAGTGTTATTCATCGTGTATGTATCTGTGCCTTGATGACCGATATGCATCACAACACACTTGGAAGTATTTATCGGCAACTGCCATGTTTGAGACCATTCAGATAACTTCTTCAGGTCATTTTGAAGTTCTAAGCTATCACTCTTACATCGTATCGTTCTCCATATCTTGACATCGTCAGCATATAGCAAGACCGATGATGATAGGAGACAAGGAAGGTCATTTACATACAAGAGGAATAGCACTGGCCCCAAAACTGTACCCTGGGGCACTCCACTAAGCACAGTTTCCCAGCTAGACAACTTGGAGTTCACCCTTACTCTTTGTTGACGCCCAACTAAGAAGTCTTTTATCCACATCAATAAATTACCTCCAATCCCGACATTTCTTAACTTATATAACAGCCGGTTGTGCGGAACTTTATCAAAAGCTTTACTGAAATCAATGAAGGCGACGTCTACAGGTAGCTTTTGGTCCTTAAGAGCACACCAGCTTTCACGAGCCACTAATAAGTTAGTGAGACAAGAATAACCTATTCTGAAGCCATGCTGCTTCTCCGAGAGGATCCGGTTTTTATCGAGATACTTAAACAGCTCCTTCCGAATAATCTTTTCTAATATTTTAACAACCACACTAGTTAGGCTAACGGGGCGGTAGTTCTCAGGTTTGTGTTTCGTGCCTGTTTTGAAGACAGGACTTACTATGGCGTTTTTCCAATCTTTCGGTAAGCGACCCTGCGTAACGGATAGGTTAAAGCATGTACTTAAAGGGTTCGCAACGAAGTTAGATAATTCCTTCAGTAGCCTAGGATGTAATTCATCGGGCCCCGTGGATTTACCTATGTCAAGCTTATTTAGCAGACCAAAGACATCGAGTTCTTTAATGGTCACGCTATCCAGTGTATGTATGGGGGGATCTGTATACGCTGACGAGAAGGGCGCTTCTATGGTATACACGTTGCTAAAGTAGTTCGAGAACGCTTGAGCCTTACCAAAGTCGTCCTCCACTAATGATGAAGCAGTACTGTCTCCCCATAGAGCAGGAATATTTCCTTTTCTCCTTGTCCTTTGGTTTATATAGGAATACAAGCGTTTAGGACATTCTATGGATTCCTTAACAAGTTTTTTTTCGTACAATTTTCTAGACTTACGGAGGGTCGAGGCACAAGTGTTCCGAGCCTTTCGATACTGAGATTTTGACTCATCAGTCCCCAGTAACCTAAATCTATCCCACGTTTTCCTTTTCTTACGGAGAAGGATACGGACCTCCCTACTGAACCATGGTGGTGAGTTTTTCGGCCCCTTTGGTATAGTCCAAGGGATGTGAGGTGTGGTAACTTTTAAGTATGATTTTCGAAATGCGTCCCAGGCCGTTTCAATGGAGGACTCTGGGTCTATTGTCCAATCTATTAACGATGCTGAGTGCATGATGTCTGGTATGTTTGCTTTCCAGACGTTGGGTCTGGACTGGACTGACGCGTCCTCATGACTGGCAGTTATATGGAAGTCGAAAGTTAAAACTGCGTGGTCACTTTTACCTAAGGGTGGCATATGGTGGAGGTTCGCAACATCATCCTCACAGTGAGTCAGTATAAGATCTAATAAGGATGATTCAGTGTCCGGATCGTACCTTGTCGCTTCTTTCACATGTTGCACTAGAGCACATGTGATAACCCCATCAACTAGTTCCTGCTCGAAAGAATTCTCCGACGATTTAGTTCGCAGATTTTCCCAGTCTACCAAGAATGCTTTCGAATGTAATTAATACACGAAAGCCAAAAAACTCAGTAAAATATCAACTTAACTGGGGAAGATTCAATTAAAGTGTAAATCGTAGTTTTGATACGTAATTTACGATCAAAACAGTTTAATAATTTAACGAGAAACAATACCACTGTCCTTTTTAGATAGCGCGCGTCATTGTTTCTTCGACCCTATGATTGCCTTAAGGAGTCTATATGGTCAGATTTTAACACTCTTGTCGCTCTTCTTACCTATTCTTGTCAATATTTTCACCTGAAATCTTTCCGAGTTATCTCGTAAGATGCTACGAATAAATGTTCAGATTTTTTTAAACCATGCGCGTGTCTAATTTTTGGGTCAGGGTCGTATGATTCAAGCACAATACTTATAGTAATGTTCAGTGTGATTAGGCTTATTCCAACCACGCTATAAGGGATTTCGGTCTTACTTTTAAACTTTGGCAGTGCATTTTGCGACGCGAAGCAGGATTTTATCAGACATTTACCATTCAAGCGGTTACTGCTAGTGGAGTTTTCCTTTCTCTTCATTGTGTCCGCACGGTCATCCATTTAAGGTCACTCAGAACAACCACATCGGTAGCAACTTTACCCGGGTCCTCCTTTTATGCTTTAGAGTCATGATCATCTGCATAAAGTGACATTTCACCCTTCGGTAGTGTCAAAGGAGATTTTACGTTACCATGATTCACAGTCGGGTGTTTGACACGTATCGTAACAACACGTACTACACTGGTACATATTTCGCAGTCAGCACTCATGCTACGAAAGCAGCCACCATCAATCTTCTTGGGTTCCAATGAGAGGAGGCCCACAGAAAAAACCACACTGGCACCAAAACTGTACCCTAGAGCACTCCGCCAAACACAGTTTCCCAGCTAGACAACTCCATGTTCACCCACACATTTTGTTGACGCCCAACTCGGGAGTCTTTTATCCACTTCAATAGATTGCCTCCCATCACGATATTACCTTATTTAACAGCCAGTTTTGAGGAACTTTGTGAAAAGCCTTACAACATTTACAGGTAACTTTAGATCCATAAGAGCGCACCAATTTTCGCGGGCCACTAATAAGTCAGTGAGAAATGAGTAGTCTGTTCTAAAGCCATGATACTGTTCAGAAAGAATCCGGTTCTCGTCTAGATACGTGAGCAAATCCTTCTGAAATTTCAGCAACGACGCTGGTTAAGCCAACGGACGATAGTCCTCAGTTTTGTGTCTCATACCTGTTTCGACTTATTGTGGCATTCCTTCTGTCCTTTGAAAATCTATCCTAGCTGTATGTGCTCAAGGGATTAGCGATGAAATCTACTACATACTTTAGCAACCTAGAATGCGTTTCATTAGGTTTTATAGATTTTCTTATATCGAGCTCGTTTAGCAGACCAAAACATCTAGTTCTTTAATGATCACAGTGTTCAGTGTTCTTATGGGAAGGCATCTATACGATGCACACATAGCTAAAGTAATTTGAGAACACGTGGACTATACCATAACCGTTCCTTAATGATTATGCACTACCATTTTTCAACAATTATCTGATCTATCTCATCTTAGTCCTTTGGTTAATGTGCGTTTTCCATGCACTCCTCAAAGCGGTTTTCCTCATGGAATCTTCTTGGCTTGCGGAGTTTTGAGATACTAGTATTTCGGGCTCGCCGATAATGGGATTCTACCTCAACAATTCTAAGTAACCTAAATCTCATCAACGGACATTTCTGTTAGGGAAAAGGGAACGAACCTGCTTACTGAACAAGTATGAGGAGTTTTTCGACCTCCTTGGTGTAGTTTGAGGAATGTGCAGTGCAGTAGCTCTTATGAAAAAATTCTGAATACCTCCCAAGAACTTTTGACAGCGTATTCTGGTTATATTGTTCGACTTACTGAGAATGCTGTATATAACTCCTTACATATTTATCTCCCAGACATTTTGTCTACCTTGGGCCGACACACCGTTGTTGACGACGATTTCGAAATCAAAGACTAGAGCCTAATGGGCACTCTTACTTGTGAAAGACATATAATCGAAGTCCATGACATCATCTTCATAATGGATCATTATGAGATCTAGTAAGGATGATTCGGATTCTGATATGTACATAGTTGCTTCTTTCATATGTTGCACCAGAGAAAGCTTTTGTCAAGAAATTTTGAACGACTCAGTCCTCAAATTTTTCCAGTATACTAGAAGTCCGTTAACGTTTCTAAGGATAAACCATCAACCACTTGAAGACCCAGTGTTGTAGCGATCTAGGAAGACCTCATTCACCTTATAGTTTGACTGAGGTAGACCGAGCAGAATAACAAGTCTTGTTCCTTGAATTTCTGGGTATAGACAAGCAATTCGCACATCTCACTTTCACAGGATATGTTATTGATAACGGTAAAGGATGTAATGTTTTTCATGATTAGAGCCGATCCTCCTTATTCATGCCCATTCTGCAGTCCCAAGTCCACTTAATTGGAATGTTTAAACACCACCTTTAGCAACCTGATTTGGTTTTGTTTCAAGTGCACCCGGCTACCCAGTTTGTGAAACTTCAAAAAGATGACTTTAGAGACATCTTGAGGCATTAGCTGGTTAAGTAGATCTTTTATCAACCATCTGTCATACTCAGATTGATTTCAGGACCCTAAGATTTCACTCCCACTGACTCCATAAACATGATCAGCCCCAGATTTCTCAAGTACTATTCGGGAGACTTGCTTTTTCCTAAAGACATAATGTCGTCTCTTATTTATTTGTTTGTGCCCATTCATCAACTTTCACTGAAGTAGCAACCACAGTCGCGCTACACACACCGCAAGTTTTTCGATGATAGTCGATGAATTGAGCAGCGAAGTCGCTGCTTTTCCGGTTATAATTAGACTTGACCTTATGAATAGGCTTCTAGGTGCTTCGTGCCTTCTGCTGTTTGAAGGGTGGAAGACAGAACGGTTCCCTTTTGTTGCGTTTTCATTTCTAACAGACCCCTTTTACGTTGGCTCTTCACCATATGGTGCATATAAACTGACAAATTCCGAGCTTATTTAGTGTGGCTTCGCATCGATCTGTGTATCAACAGGGCGAAAATTGCTCGATCCTTTTCGATTACGTTTGCTAACACTACTTTTAGCAACGGGAAGATGTTTGCGTCCCAACAGCATTTCTGACACAACCGAACGTGTTCAACTTTACCAAACGTTTTGAAAGCCACAGGCATGAGGTTCGTGTCAACGTCGTGATACCATCATTTGCATTCGTTGCACTGCATACCACTTTACATGGGTATAAACAGTTTAGTGGCCCGTTGATCTGGCTGCTGATTAAAAGAACGGATAAAAATGCCATGAACATAAATCTGCCATTTAACTCCGCACATCACCCAGGCAAACCTCGTTTGTGAGATAGAGACAGTGAGAAGTCAAACACAGGTTAGGTTGAATGAATTTGTTTCAGGCACTCGCTTATACAGACGGACATTCAGAATGTAAGGCGAGAAGACTGGGCGAGTGAGTCAGACCGATTTGATGAAGTGTGATTCAGTACTTATAGTCAGACAAAAATAGGCTAAAGACGTATAACGAATAGGGTAAGCAATAAATATACATACTGTAAGATTCATTTTGAATGCTTTGTGTGTTTGTGAAAATCCCTCCATGTATATACTTGCACTTTGTTCCTATTGATCCTCTTAGTTGTACATTGTTAACTTTCGACTACATTTGAATTGCTAATATTTGTATTTTATTACAGTTTCTTTTTTACTACACCTTCACTAATTCCCCATGTTTCTTCCCGAACTGCACTTATGTTGTTTTACTTTATACTAAGTCTGGGCGGCAGCTATTTTGGTTTGTTCCTGCTTTTGATTGCTTGACCTGTGTTGACTGGAATTGTGCATTTTGGTTGTGAATTGAAGCACTCTTCCAGAATTGAAAACACTGTGTTATAGAGCGACCAATCATTACCTTTTGAACGAATCTGTACGTGATCTATCCAGACAGGATAGAATAACAGTTATTTGTGGTGATTGGTAATTTTCTTGCATCCTTTATCAACTTTCTTATTTATTGTAGTTTAGATTTGATCAATTGAACAATTATTGGTTGGATAGCTGAGTGGTTATATTTGTTTAGGTAATAATGTACACTTAAATTTATGATAAATTATAGAACCGTCATCTTACCCAATTACATTATTTTGGTTTCAATTGGGCGAGGGCGCGTATCTAACTCATCCAGACAGCTGTCCTTCACTCCAAACCGTAGTTTGGATATTACACATACGGTCGTGTGAAAATAACCAAGGTTGATAAGCAAACAATTGATAAAGACAAAATGTGACTCAGGCTGAATGAGTAAATCGTTCTTCACGGTAGCTAGAACAACCCATGTGGGCCTGACATAGTACCGGATGCTAAAATAGCTAGGGTGTTGGATATTGTTTTGGTGCACTGTCCAGCCGTCAATCAGAAGTTTTCAAATAAACAACACACGAAAGCACGAGGAGAAAAAGTGATAACCGTGAATAAGTGAAACCGTGAACTGCTAAATGCAAAAGCGCGGCAAAAGAAAACTAATGTATTCAACAGAAGTTCAGGCGCAAAACTAGCTGAAAGAAATGATACTTTTGGCACTACTTTTACCGAAATCATTTTAGCTAAATTGAAAACAGTGACCTTGATGTGCAATAAACGACCAGAACCCAGCGATGAAAAATACCACTGCCCTTTTATATAGCACGAGCGAATTTTATCATAACGACAGTCTGAAGGTACTTCCATAAGCAATAAACTCATGACGATTTGGAACTGAACTTGATTTCAGCCACTATGTCTCACAGCCTCCGTTCTTCAAGTAGATAAAGTGATGCTAACGTAATGATGCACGATGTAGAACGAATTTTTGGTGATATTACGCTATCGCGACGACTCCTTAGTTGGGATAATTTCGAGACTTGCATAAAAGAAGTGTGTAAGGTGAAAGGACTTCTGTGATCAGGAATTTTTCGTACGGCATATACACACCAAGTACGTCATACCGGTATGTAAAAAGAAGGAAGATTACCCAAGTCTAAAATGCCTTTAAGTTAGCTGTGTTTGTAAACATGTGTGTAATTACAGTGCATAAGGATTGGGTTCTTGACTTCAGAACATACATGGTGATAGTGATCAATATTTTTCCGAAGACCATACACTCAGTTCACTATCACGACCTAAACACAAAAGGTGACGTCACTCATCAACATATTCTTTGCTTCAAACAAATTTACGATCTGGGTCTGAATATTGCGACTGCCGGACGGGATTTCGGGTCCATGAAGTAAATGGTTGGCTAAACGTTATTTCAATTAAAACC